GGGTTTTTTTTGCACAGGAAAGCTTGGAACAGGGAGCAGGTAGCTGCTGGTCCTCAAGCTCTGTAGCTCTGGTGATGCAGTTGTTCTCCTCAGTCACAACAAATCCAAAAGCCTCCCAAGACATACTCACAGCTAGGATCCCTCCCTCTGAGGATCTTCCAGCCTTTCCCAAGCTCTCCAGTCCTTGCCTTTGCTGCCCATCCCTGAACACAGTCCTAGACATGGAGAAAAGCCTTGGCAGGGCAGCCTCTTGAGTGCCCAGAGGGTGGTTGTGGGGAGGCACAGGATGCCTAGTGGAAAAGAGGTAAATCTCATTAAGGGTTTTAACATTTATGGCCAGCAAGATAATGAAGGAAGGTAATTTGGGGCAGCTTTATTGCCATTATCATCATGTTTCCCTAAAGCCCAAAGATCAAAGTCAGTGGATAATGTCCAGAAGGAGGTTTTATACCTTCCTCCTTTGATGTTTTGAAGCAACAGCCATTGCAGTTGAAGATTTGGAGACATCTGTAGCAGGACGCTCCATCTCAGTGTGTCTGCCTCAGTTTCCCCTTATGATCCAATTGCTCTCTGCCTCTCAATTTTACAGGCTTGACCCTGGAGTGGGAAGATTCCCGTGGGAAAGGAAAGGGCTTGGCAAGCTCTGAGCTGGTAACAACCTGGAAAGTACAAACTGAGGCCACGTTGATGATCATAACAGCAGCTGCTCTCTGGTGTTGAAGAACACAGCCCAAAATGGAGACAAAACAAGAATGAACAGATAAACAAAAGAGTTTCCTTGGTGAGAAAAGGGCCTTTTTGGCTTTTCCCCAGTGTTTTCCTTTTCTTCTCCAGGGAGAGATGTTGGAGGCACAGCTAAATGGTTAAATGACAGCAGTCAGTCCTCTTCATTCTAGAAAAGCCTGGTCCCATCTTTGATCTGAAAGACTCTCACACTTTCCAGGAGGTTGCTGGACCTTCTCCTCTCCAGTAGGGATTGTCTGCTCAAGGGATTATCTCTCCAGACTTGAGGACCAGGACAAAGGGACACCTGGCTGTGGCCACAGGAGGGTGAGCAGTATGAACTCCTTTACTGTCTTTCTTAATTAGCTTGACATTAAGAAATCATCCACTGTTAAGTTGTAAACTTCTAGATGAGTGCACTTACTGAATTATCACCTGGCTAGGTATTATTTTGATCACTGTTTTAGATAAGACCTATTAATAAGTAGGTTGTTAGCATTTAAATGGATGGCCCTTATCAACTGACTATTAGTTGTGCATTTAATTGTTAAGATACCTTTTTTTGCATTATGACTTTTAATGTTCTGTTTTGCTACCATAATACCCCAACTCCCACATGATCCAGCTGTACTTGTGCCTTTTTATTTCAATAGTTAAGATCCTGGTAATGTTTGCAATTACCAGGACATCTCATCTGTTACTTCACCTTATTCAGGACAAGATCCTGTCAAATTTTTTCCTCCTCTCCTTTTATTTTCCACCTTTACTTTCTCATTTTACCTTGTGAGAAGAAGGGTAGATGATGAACTGGGAATGGGAGTTGCCTAAAATGAGTGAGCATTCGAGGATGCTCAAGGAGGGATGTTCACAAAGCAGGAATTTTATGCAAACTGCACCAGTGATTTGCAAAGCTGAACAAAACTGTGACCCCAGAGAGATTTTGGCACTGGTGCCCACTCCAGAAACTATCACCCATGGGTGAAATGGGTCATTCTCCCCACAAGCCCAGCTGTGGGAACAGCCAGGCTTTTGTGGTGACAAAAAAAAACCAGGACAACAAGCAAAGATATTTCAAAAGCTGCCATTTCAACCCCACTGTGACAGACTGATCTCTTATTATTTCCAAATGTTTCCAGAAAAATGATGTAGATTTCTCCACTAGTTCTGAAATTGTACCCATTTCCTAAGGAAACAAGTTACTTCACCATTTCAGACAGTGTCATTCCCAGTGTAAATGATCAATGTCATCAGTCCCCCTAAACAAAAACTAGGATGAAACCAGCCTGGCTTCTGACTAAAACAGCAGACTGGAAGCCAGGACTGCAGACTGTCTGCATGGATTTGCTTCTTCTCATGGTGCCCCTGAGCAAACATGCCCATCCTGCCCAGGACATTTTGGGGCTTTGTGGCTGGATAAAGGTGCCTCGATGATTCTTTGTCTGACAGTCTTGACTTTGCTTCCTGATCTGCAGGACACAAATGGAGGTGAACGCACTCTTCCCCCTGCTGTGGAGAATAATAGAATCGTGGAATGGTTTGGGTTAGAAGGGACCTTAAAGATCACCTAGACCCAACCCCCTGCATGGGCAGGGACACCTCCCACCATTCCAGGCTGCTCCAAGCCCCATCCAACCTGCCCTTCAACACTGCCAGGGATGGGGCAGCCACAGCTTCCCTGGGCAACCTGGGCCAGGGTCTCACCACCCTCACACTATAGAATTTCTTCCTCATATCCAATTAAAATCTCCCATTTTCAATTTTTAATCCATCCCTTATTGTCCTCTCACTGCCTGCCCTTGTCCCAAGCCCCTCCCCAGCTTTCCTGGAGCCCCTTCAGGCACTGGAAGGTGCTCTAAGGTCTCTCTGGAGCTTCTCTTCTCCAGGCTGAAGGCAGACTGACACTACTAAATGGCTGAAGGACATGGAGAAGTTTGGGCTGGGTAATGTGCACAGCCTAATTACTTAATCATAGAATCCCAGACTGGTTTGAGTTGGAAGAGACCTTAAAGACCATCTCATTCTAACCCCCCTGCCATGAGCATGGACAATCTTCATCTTTCCAGCTTCTGAGTTAATTTTCAGTCCAGTTGTGATTTAGGTCCTCAAACAGCCTAGGGAGGGGTATGCAGCAGCAGGGGTGAGTTGTTGGGTCACCTGCTGGGTGGGCTGCTGCTGTGTCACATGGGTTTGTGCATTGTTACCTTCAGCCATCCTATTAATGCCAGTGCTTTTTAAGCTTGTGGTTATAGAACAGATAAATTGCATTACAGTTGTAAAAACTTCATCTGGTCTAATGAAACTTCTATTTTCTTCCCATTCCAGGCTGCTCCAAGCCCCATCCAACCTGCCCTTCAACACTGCCAGGGATGGGGCAGCCACAGCTTCCCTGGGCAACCTGGGCCAGGGTCTCACCACCCTCACACTATAGAATTTCTTCCTCATATCCATTCTAAATCTCTCCTCTTTCATTTTGAAACGGTCCCCCAGCTCTTCCTCTCACTCATAGAATCATCAGTCAGGTTGGAAAAGCCCCTTGGGATCACCCAGTCCAACCATCATCCCTACTCTACAAAGTTCTCCCCTCAACCACATCCACCAACACCACATCCAAACCACCCCTCAACACATCCAGGGATGGTGACTCCACCACCTCCCTGGGCAGCCTGTTCCAGGGTCTGACCACTCTTGCTGTGAAAAAAAAAAAAAAT